CCTGCTGTGTCTTTGTTTCAGGCAATCTGGGAGAACCAGTTCTATTACCTTTTTGGCTTTCTCTTCCTGGTGTTTATAATTCTGGTGGTATCCTGCTCCCAGATCAGCATTGTCATGGTGTACTTCCAGCTCTGTGCTGAGGTGAGATTTCTGTGTTTGTAGTTGGGGGAGCTCAGGGTAATTTGCTCCTGGGAAAGCACAAGTCATGTTCTTGCTGCTGCTCAGCAGAAATTAGTGTGGCACAGCTTCACAGGTGTGATTGCTCCCAGCACCTCTTGACTTCAAGGAGAATTGAACTGCCTGATTAGCAGCTAGGCTGGAAACTGTGGTTTTGTACCAGGAATTCTGCTGGGCACAGGGTGCTGTGAGCTAACATCCCTTCCCAAAGAAAGTGTTCCATTCCATCCACATACAGAACCAAATGCAGGGCCAGAGGTGAGCTGTGTCCTTGGGCAGCAGGTGCTGTGAGCCTGACCTGGCTTTGCTTCACCGTCAGCTTCAGATCCTCTTGGTCTGGAAACATTTCTGTGACAAAACAGTTCCCCAGCCCCAAACTGGGGGTTTCATGTGAACGAAAATGGGTGGTGGTCTCCAGTCACAGCTCCCCTGAAACTGCCAAAGGAGAAGGAAGCCCATGAGGATAATGAGGCTCTTTTATCCTATCAGGATTACCGCTGGTGGTGGAGGACCTTCCTGGTGTCTGGAGGATCTGCCTTCTATGTGCTGATCTATGCTGTCTTCTACTTTGTGAACAAGGTATTGTTATTCCTCCTGTGTGAAAGTGCCACCTGTCTGGGAGAGAGAGGGGGATTTGGAAAAAGAAATGGTGGGACTGCCAAGTCCAGGTCTGTCCCATGCCAGCCCAAGTCAGCTGACCAGCCAGCAGTGCTGACAGCCCTTCCAGAAGGGAGGGGAGGGTGTAGGTGCCCTAAGCCCCTGCCCACACCACCTGTGTGTCACAGCATTCCCAACCTCATCTCGAAAGGGATCTCCTTTCAGCTGGACAATATGAATTGTGTGGAGCATTTTCTCCCTTTGCCAAACATCCCCTCGCAGAAGGCACTGGCTGGTTTGGGGACTCTTGTCACCTCTGTATGTGATTTTGCTCATTTTTTTCCCTCCTCTTCTGTTTCAGCTGGATATTGTTGAGTTCATTCCCTCCTTACTGTACTTTGGCTACACTGCTCTCATGGTCCTGTCCTTCTGGCTCCTCACGGGCACCATCGGCTTCTACGCAGCCTACATGTTTGTCAGGAAGATTTATGCTGCTGTGAAAAT